TGGCTGTGGTGGTCCAGGCTGTGTTGGCCTATATCCCCCATACTGCTGACCTTGTCCCTGTGGGTAGTTAGGATACTGAGGACCTGGACCACCCTGTGAAGGACCTGCAAAATAATTAACACAAACAGAGGCCCACATAAAAATATAATAAATCCCTAGAACTAAGGAAAGGATTTAAAACTAGATAAAAGTTACTATATTTTTATATCTAAACTAAAAAGGATAGTTTGGTACCATGATTTTCTCAAATGCTTTTTGAAATAAATTTCAATGGTTACAAATAAGAGTGAAAATACTGTAATGCTACTTCAGCGTAACTACTGTAATATGTCCTTAGCCATTACAAAATTTGTACATCAAAATGGTTATAAAAAGACGCAGGGAATTGTAAAGCAGGTTAACTACATTTTGATAAGAAAATCAATCAATACATCTATTGGAGAGTTAACCAGTACAAACAAGAAGCAAAAGAAAAGGCAAGAGACAGATTTAAAGAAAAATACTAAAATAACTTCTGAATAAAGTGTGGGAATCAATGATATTTACAACTCATGAGTCTAAATTTACATTGGCAATCACCAAAAGAGTCAATATGGCTATCCTCTACACTGATAAATTTATTACTATAATATTTTAAAATAGAAACTAAAGAAAAGCCACAGGTTACATGTGAAAAAACTTGATTCAAAAGTTACATTCTGAGAACCAATCACCTTTAACACTTTACCCATAAAAATGATTTCAAATTCCAGAGTTGGCAAGGGACTAATTTGTTTTGCTAAACAAATATGCCTGTTTTATAAACTCTACTGCCTATTGCAAAGAATGCTTTATAAAGCATAAGCTGAAAAGCTTTGACACTTAGATGTTTTTTACCACAGCCATTCAAAACCTGCCATAAAAACACTGATTGCAGAGGAAAGTATCAAGCAGAACAAAAATTTTCAAGCTTAAATAAATTCTGTCAGTCTATTATTTATTATATGTTCAATTACTAAAACTTTAAATTTTCTATTAGAAGAAAGTTTGACAACCGAAGCCTACGGATAAACAAAATGGGAATTTCTCCTTCAGGATTCCTGATGTTTAACAGTACAGCATTTAACTACTTAAACCAAAAATTAATCAAACTTTCTTTCATCCTCTCTTCCATCTGAAAACATTTCTATTGTCAATGAAATTACCTGATTTAGCCATATATTTGTCTTCATGCAAATGCAATAAAACTAGAATACTCTATTTGTTCAAAGTACAAATATTAAATAGTTATGAAAGAGAAATGTCATTTGGGAAGGCAAGGAAAAAACCTTTGTGAAAAGAAGAAATCCATGGAATATTTCTAAAGTCGCATCTAGAATTAGGAAACCAGAACTTATCTTTTTTGGAAAAATATCTGATTTCCAATATCTCAGTTTCAATGCATATGTTGAGGGGGCAAGAGAATTTCAGCCTAACCTGGGTTCTTAGATTTGCTATCATAGGTAGACAGAGGTGTCCATGGTAATAAAAGGGCTCTTATCAATAACTAATAAGACATTATGATGTGAAAAAGAGACCATATTATCAAGAGATGGAGTCAATATTAATAAGTAGCTACCTCTCTGTTGTTCAAACTATATTTTCCTCTATCTAAAATGGTTATAGTAGCCTGAAATTTAAGACTGAAATATCAGGCTCTCATCATTCCCCACTCCCTATCTCATACCTAAAGTGAGATATTCAGGTAGCAGATATTATAGTGAGTATACAATAGGAAAATACGGTTATACTTCCCCTAAACTCTGTATAATACACAACTGCAATAAATTTACCCCCATGGATATGTACATTGCCATTTAACTAGAGAATGACAAAAACGTTTTCTTTATGCATTCTAAACAGATCTCTTCGCTGGTTCTCAAAAAGTCAATGTTATTTTTTGTAGTAACTGTCATTAGTTTTTAGAAATAAATTTGCTAAGCGGATTACATACATATGGCTAATAATTACCCAATCATCAGTTTTCTAAGCACATACAAAGCTACTGGCTGGTCATGAATGCCAAACAGGTCTAAGAATTCATTTTTCCTGTCTTTTAAATGACTTTACACCTTACTTTTGGTCAATCAACCATCTCTAATTTATGGTTCTTCGTAAATGGATTACTAGTTCATCTAAAAGCAACAGTTTAAATATATACTCTAATAGTAGACTGGGCTAAAACTGAATTTTCGAAAGTAATAATTCTTGGAAAAATAAATACTAAATATTCGCTTCCATATTTCAAAACAGTAATCATATTTTTGGTGACAAAAATAAACTACAATCAACTATTACCATAGCCCTGTTGCTGTCCCGGGTAACCTTGCTGCCCTGGGTACTGCTGTTGCTGGGGTGGATATCCCTGTTGTGGAGGTGGTCCTTGGTAAGCATCTTGCTGTTGGCCATATTGTGAATTTCCTACAGGATAATTGAAGAAGAAGAAAAAAGAAACTGAGAAGTTTGCTTAATTAACTTTTTTCCCTCTAAGATGCATAGCCAACAACACAAGAACAAAATGAAATGCCATATTGATTTTTAAAAGTTAACAAAACAAAGAAAAAACTCAAACCAAACAGAAGGATTTCGGCCAAACAAACTGCAGTTAAAGCCAATTTTGCAAGGTTGAACTGCAGCATTTTCAGCGTCTCTGCCATACGAGCATTACATTTACTGGAACATCACAGTCATAAGATCATGACTATGCTAAATAAAATAAAAAAGACAAAATTAAAGACAGCTACAAGAGCACACACTAGCTACACAAAATCAGCAAGCTGTTTCCTAAAGGCACTATACTTATATGTAAAATTATACATATGTAAACACATGAGAAAAAAAATTGGATCAATGGATTTATGTTCAAATAGAAAATTTCCACTGAGGAAAAATTATCTTTAAATGTTTTAGTCTTTTTATTGTTGTTAGAAATGGCAAGTCACGGTTATACATTTTAAATATTTGTAAGGAAATTATTTTGGTTGTTGTGGGCTCCCTATAACTTTCAAGACAGCCAGCAACTAGTATTCTACAAGAGCTTTGCATGGGTAGAAGTCATCTTATGCAAGATTTCCTGTAGAAGGGGATATGTATGTGTATGTGTGTGAAGGTATATAGATACCTCCTTCGTAGTAATGTTGTGAGGAATCCTCATAAGGCCTATCGTAGCCTTGTTCAGGATACGACGGTTGCTGATAACCGTAATCATTATGACCTACATCAATTCGACAAGAGACAGGAAGAAACGTTAATGGCCACTGAGTGAAAACCCTAAAAATATTTAAACTTTCAGATAAAATTGAAAAAAAGAAAAAGAAATGGAAATACATAAAAAATAATAATTTCAATTGCATTAGCCAAAAATTTACCAATGTGATTGTTTCCATATTGAGATAACATGCAAATTTTTTTCAAAGCAAAAAGCAGTAGTTTTAGAAACATTACACTTATTGTCTTAAATCTGATAAGCCTTCATTGAGGGGGAAAAACTTTATCTTCCATTTTAAAAAAAAAAAGGAGAGAATAAAAGCATTTAGGTCTTTCACATGTAAATAACTAAAATTAAATTAGAACAAACAAAGAAAGCAATTATCATATTTTGTCAAACACCTGTTCTGCTGGTCTCCAATTCCACAGCATATGCTAAAAACAATGCAAAATATAAAAGAGCTCCATAAGTTTTTTCCCCTGAAAGAAACTGAAACAAGTTTTTCACACACTAACATTTACTTGCATAAAATATATATATACCTCAAAGTACTTTCCGATGTAAAAAAATGTATCGCTGCCATTTTAGAAATACTTTAAGTATCATAAACATGCACTTTCATAAAATTAACAATGTACTGAATGTTAGCGTATACACCTTTAGTTTTAAGGCACAATACATTTTACCTGCAAGATAACTGGACTTTAATGAAGAATAATATTCCCATCCTTTTAACTAAGTTTCACTAAGAAAATGTCAGAAATAACCTTTTGGTTAGCTAAAATCCGAACTAAATTTTATAAGAATGTTTAATTAAGGAAGTAGGAATATAGTTACAAATAAATATTACACTCAGTGCTCTAGTATTCAAACGTTCCAAATCACCTCATAAATATCTACATCAAGGATTGGCAAACTATGGCCTGTAATCTTCTTCACAAGACCAGTGGCCTGTTTTTGTAAATAAAGTTTTATTGGAATATAGTCATGTTCATTCATTTAACTATTGTTTATAGCTGCTTTCACTTTACAATAAGAGTTCAGTAGTTGAGACCAGGATCATTTGGCCCACAAAGACTTAAATATTTACTATATGGTCCTCTACAGAAGTTTGCAAACTCCTAATCAACATATTTACTGGCATAAATATCTGGACATGAGAGAAAATATCCAAAGCTGTTTAAGAAAATTAATTGTTGATATAAATAGAATACTCTATGTAAATATCAGACATAAATTAATATGCATCTAGGCAAAAATGATATCATTTAAGTAAAAATCCACTAATGTAGTAAAATGAAGTTTTGATGTTTCCCAAAAACTATTCTGACTAGAAGGGTCATACTCATAACAATACATATTTCACATTTCAGGAGATAGTCAAGGACCAAAATAACAATGTCAAGTTCAACTCAATTATTTAAAATATATTTAAAAATTAAATAAGCAAAGTAATCATTTATTTTCAGCAGATTTCTTAATATATATAATTTAATGAAGTAGATTTCACCTCTATGATATCTATAATCTACTATAAATTACTAAAATTTTTAATTTAAAAAAAATCATACTATCACGTCTACATGTGAAAGAAAAAAGAAAAAAAAACAATATTCTGAATTCAGGGAAAGAAAATCTGAGGTTAAAAAAATACATAGTATTCTAAACAGAATTATCCATACATGTCATCATTATCACCAATAAACATTTAGTGTATGTAAAATTTGACAGTTATTTGCTCTGCCTCTGTAGTCAGAGCCCCTCCAGTAAAAACCAATGTCCTAGAATATGGATGTACCTTCATGTTTTACATAATGATAGAAAATGATGGGCAAAATGATTTTTCAAATATACCGAATTATATCTTCTTGCTGGCTTAATTGGTTTTTCGTCAACGGCTATTACTTTAGCTTTAAGTTTCTTAGTTTCTCTGTTCATTAATTTACATTTACACCAAAAGAGCTTACTATATAAATAAACCTTTGGCATTTCGTTTCATAATAATACAAATCATTTTGTAACGTATGTTTGATTGTTTTTTCCTGGACATTGTATAAAATTTTCAAACATACAGAAAAATTCAAAGAACTATACAGTGGAAACCTACTTATATGCTTGGATCATTACTATTTAGATTTTCTTAAAATGCAATACATCTTTACTGAATACTTTTTCACAAGCTACTTTCCCACTTTAAAAAAAACTGACTAACTAAATAACTAAAAATCTGGTTTCCAATCACCTTTCCCATTCTACTAAATCTCTGGATAGCTATATTATGGATATAATTTAGCCTCCAAAACTTTTCTCAAATGCAAATGCTAATGTAAACCATAGTTTGCTGAGAAGTATGCAACATTAATTAAAATGACAAGACTTAGAAAAATACTCAAAATCTGTTTTCTATATATTTACACAGTGCATAAAAGTAAACTAATGAGTAAACTTTATGATATGTGAGTTATAACTCAATAAAGCTGCTGTTAAAAAAAAAAAGTAAATCATAAGATTTGCTTTGGTTCAAATGAACAACCCTAAATATAAAAGGATCCTCTTTTGTGTAAGGGTTCCAAAGACAGAACGTGATTCCTGATGGTACTACCAGACTAGTTACACAAAATATACTCTGAATTAGATTATAAACTAGTGCTATCATTGGTACTTTGGAGTACTGAAGTGTTTCTAAATTTAAAAGAAAGGTTGTTAGTTTATTCATCCTCATTAAAATGTTTTATATAGTTCTCTATATTAATATTGGGCAGGGGTATAAAATGGGAAAGTTAACATTAGGCGAGATTACCATCAGGGTAATATTGCTGGTTCATGCCTTCTGGAGGACCTTGTCCACCATGACTGTATTGGTCCCCATAATAGTCTTCCTGGCCTGAGTACTGCTGTGGTGGGCCTGAAAAACCACAACCAGTTGAGAAGTAAATAATTTGTTCTCTATGTCATCGAAGGCTTTCTTTTTAATTTGATGTTATGAGAGATTATTTCTCAGCTATAGATTCCCTTCCCATGCTTTGGCATTTCAGATACTTTTAATTATTCATATATACACACATACACATACACACATGGCATCTCCACATATTACATTTACTAAAATTAAGACCATCCATGCAACATCAAACAATATCAACTCAGATAAAGAAACACCAACATCTTAAAAAGAGGTTCAAACTGGTAGAAAATTAATTTCCTTCTTATTTTGATATTAGAGGTCTCTGAAATAAAACTGAGTTTTTGAATAAATATTTAGTAATTTATTAAAAACAAAATGATATTTTTTGCTGTGACTTAATGAGGTTTTGATACAAAATTTTCACATATCCTTTTCCCAGAAAATAACAGGTAAGATAAAATTGTACACCAGGAAGTTCCTATCTACCTTGTGACCCTTTTTACCTACTATATCCACTCACTACCTTTTGTAGTGAAAAAAAAAAATGAAGAAACAAAAAATCCTAACTTTTCCTAGATGAAAAGATCATTAAAATTTAAATCCTTTCAATTACTGTTACTTACATTAAGTAAAAAATTTTCCAAATGGAATCTTACCCTGTTGAGGTGGTCTATAGGGAGGAATCTGTCTCTGACCCATCATATGATTGCCCTGGTTAACTTGACCCATCATTCCCATAGGTGGCTGCTGTCCTTGGTAATGCTGCCCGCCACCCTGTGGCATATTGTATTGCTGAGAAGGAGGCTGCTGATGCATCATTGGACCTGAAAACAAGACACAACATCATACGTGTAAAATTTTTTTTATATAATTTTAATATCTTAAGAAAAATTAGAGAATCTTATATCATATAATCCACAAAATATATAATTAAATGCAGTAAAATCTGATTTCAAATAATATTAATAAAAACAAGTCTTTGAATTAAAGCTCATATGCCTAAAATAATCGGCAAACAAAAGAAAACAACCAATCCATGGTAGTTAACTTGAAATCCACTGGAATGGTATTCTTAGTCATTTTTTAAAAACAAAATAAATGCAATATATATGAACATCCTGAATGTATGTATTTTCCATTATGCACTATATAATATTTATCTATATAATCTTTCTGGAAAATATATAATCCTTATGCTACACTAAAATACATAACAAAAGCACATTTCACAAAAATCACACAGTGTATCAATAGCCAAACCAAGGAAAAGAAACCAAATTTCTAGATTTCCATTTTGTTCTCTTTCTCTATACTCATTAATTATACAATGATAGGTAAACTATACAAACATTTAATATACTTATATTGGTAGAATTTCATAAACTTTAATTTTGGGATCAAATTTTAAAGTTCCTCTTTTCCTTTCCCAATTACAAGAATTATAAACTACAAAGGTCTTTTTGAAATCAAAGGGCTATAGTGCTTCTTATGAAGTTAAGACACACACAACAAACACACCGTAAAAACACCTAGGCAGAGAACTGAAATAAGCTGTAGGCTCAGAAATCTGAACTACGCAGTTTCCAAAGTGAGTAATACCAGGATAGCCAAACCACCACTGCTATAGTATCACACTGGCAATAGTAAAAATATATCACACGAAATAATCAACAACAGCCATAAAGTCCCATGCTGCCATCTAACAATGTAAGCATCTCCTTACAGGTTCAGTGAGCCAGTTTTGGTATGGGGAGCTCATCATTCTGCCATTATAACCATTACTGTCTCAGAAGTATGTATAAAGCATCTCGCAATTTACTGCTTATTTGGCTCTATACTCCCCCTTGACTAACTTGCGGATAATTTAAGAAGAAAGTGCAAAAGACAAAGACTAGGGAGTCTGGAAAAGTTTTACAGGGAAAACTGCACATGAGCCAAAAGCTCACTGTATAATAATTTAAATAAACAAAACAAGCCCACCTCTTTACATATATTATTGATCTACAACTGCAGCAACAATGTAAGCAGGAAGACTTCATCTTGTTTCCAATCTGAAGAACTGTTTTATCTGAAGACAACTTTATGAGAGCTAACCTTTTCTTCTATTCACCTTCTTTTGTGCGTCTGCTTCTCTTCAAATTCTTTTTTCCTTCTAATTTTACATTATGAATATAAGCCTCTCAAAACTTACTCTGGGGCCTTTCTTTCAAAAAGGAAATAAATTCTTAACAGTAGAGACAAGGCAGCTCAGTCAAGTGTGGAGGGGAAGACAACTTAACACTGAATGCACATCTATACTGCCAGTTACAGGCGTTCCAGTCACTTTCTATAAACCACTAACAACTACTAGAGGTAAGGATCCTAATTTTCAAGTTTTTAGCCAAGGAATCCAAAGATCAAGATTATACATACAGATGTCAACTGGGAACTAGGCAAACCTCAAGTATGATTTTAAAGCAGATTTGTTCTGCTATTTTTCATGTTCTCTAGTCAAAAATAAACAAATTTCATAGCTCAGAAGCAAATTTTGCAATAAAGTTCTAAAACACTAGTTTAATTAAAGTTACAATTTAAAAATATATTTTATATATACCAAAGTATTCAAAGTTAACATTTATAATTTAATAGGCAACCTGACTGAGCATTTATGTAATTCCTTTTCAGTAAATGAAGGTTTTACCTTGTCTTCTCCAACACTGTCTAAAGACCATTTGTCTCAACAGAAGGTAACTACCCAACTAAAGCATATAATATGCACTGGAACCGAAATTCAAAAGAAAGCAAAACCATAATAGCCAAGAGAAAAAAAATACATCACAAAAAAATTCTAAGCTTTGCTCTGAAGGAGAAAAGTAATGGTAGCTTAAGAACTAGATAGAAAAGACCATGCCACTTATGCTTTTTCTTTTGGGACTGTCAGCAGTTCCAATCCCAAAGAGCTCAATTACCACCCTTCTTTTATTCTCTGTCACTTCCCTCCCTCTGAGGATCCCAACATCATTCAGGATCAAGCCTAAAACCAGAGAAAGAATGGAGTTAGCTAGCACTACTAATACAATGTACTTTTCATCATTTTCCTTGAAGCCTTATCCATTAAAGAAAAAAAAATTATGACTTTATGACTTCAATTCTGATTGTTTAGGAAGCATATTCTTTTCCTTATGATAATGAAATATGCTACACTGGCAATGTATACCTCCTGAGACACTAATGGAAATAAGAGTGCTAAATCTCAAAAGGTTACCCCAAAATACATTCTAAAAATTTGTACTACACAGTAAAATAACATTAAAAAATGAATCTATTATAACCATTTTCTACAAACAATGGCATCACATTATATGCTTAAAGGTTTTTTTCATCTTTTACATAAACCGTTTGATGTTAAGATGTACTACAAAGTGTAATACACACGTGAAGACCCTATTAATGTCTTAATTACCTGCAATATATTTTTGTGAGTATTTTGCAAGGACATATTACAAATACTCATCATAACCACATTATTTCTTCCCATTTTGAGTTTTATACCCTAATAGATACTCTATGAAACAATGTCCTTTATTTTTAAACACATGCAAAATACACCCAAATTACCATATTTTGCATTATTGGATTTGCATGAATGACATGGTTAATGCTTAGTTTTTATCTTAAGTCAGTGGTCAAAAGGAAGGATTTTTTTTTTTTAAGTTAAGATCAAATTCATTCAGTATTTATTATGTACTAGACACCAGGCCAGGAGCCATGGTGATACGAAGATGGGCATTGTCACCATATACAGTGACTTACAATTAGACCAAAAAGAATTTTTTAAGACTCAACTATAAAGAAAACATTGTTTTAATTAATCTGGGAAGAATTGTGAATGATGTAACTTTAAAAACATTCTATATATATATAAAACATACATCTATATACACATATATATTCACATCTTCAGACGTAAACCAGTACACTGAAACTTCATAAACATTATCATTAATCATTAAATATTAATAATGTGGTTAAAATGATAGCTAACATTTAATCAGCATTTATTATGAGCCAGGCAGTAAGCTAAGAGCTTTATATGTATAACTTATTCTCCCCTCTCCTATGAAACAGGTAGTATTATTATCAACTTCATTTTACAGACAAGAAAATTTAAGCCTTACAAATATTAAGGCTCTTGGCTGGGTGCGGTGGCTCATGCCTATAATCCCAGCACTCTGGGAGACAGAGGCGAGAAGATTGCTTGAACTCAGGAGTTCGAGACCAGCCTGAGCAAGAGCAAGACCCCGTGTCTACTAAAAATAGAAAGAAATTGGCCAAACAACTAAAAATAGAAAAAATTAGCCGGGCATGGTAGCGTGTGCCTGTAGTCCCAGCTACTCGGGAGGCTGAGGCAGAAGGATCGCTTGAGCCCAAGAGTTTGAGGTTGCTGTGAACTAGGCTGACGCCATGGCACTCTAGCCCAGGCAAGAAAGTGAGACTCTGTTTCAAAAAAAAAAAAAAAAAATTATTAAAAAAGAGAGAAAAAATAAAAAGACAAATATTAAGGCTCTTACCCCAGGTTGCATAGCTACTAAATGCAGAGAATTCTAAAGCCTCTGCTCTTAACCACTATGTGTACCTCCTTTCCAGAGTCAAATCATACTTCTCCCATGTCATCATCTCCCACAAAAACAGTTATGTATATCTCTATCACTGTAAGATAAAAATCAACCTATTTGTAATAAGAATTAGATCATGAAATTGCATAGATAATACCATCCCCATGCCTATTTTCATGTTCATATTTCGTCCTTTAAAGCTCACACTTTACTACTTGTTCCTTAACCATTTAATCTCAAACTGAAGCATTTATACTCTTATTTGAAGGTATTGCTAATAATTTATTTGCAAGAGAAAAATCCCTGTATTACAACAAACTCAATTAGCTAACCTACTATGTTTAAATAGCCATTTAAAAGGAATACGATTCTTTACGTACCTAAATTGTACACCTGTCCACATTAAGAATTTAAGTAACTCATAATAACATGTTTACATATAACACCAAGGATAAAAGAACAAGAGCCAAGTAACTAAGAAAATGTAGGATGATTATCACAGAAGCTTAGTAAAGTCACCGCAACTAAGCGCAAACTTAGCTGAGTTTCCTAGCAACCAATGAAAAATGGGAACCACGATTCTAGCTATTAAAAAGAATAACAGCTCATTAACATACAAAATTTTTCATAACTTTAAACTTTTAGAGAAACTCTCATAAAAGTATTAAAAAGTATTAAAACAATAGTATAATAATAAGTTTTGTTAATGTCATTTGTTTTTTCAGGGACACAAACCATCTGTATATGCAGTTATGCACATTAGCCATTTCTTTAAGCTGCGATTCTCAACCATGGGCTATTTTGTACCCTGGGGGACACTTAGCAAAGTCTGGAGACATTGTTCGTTCCAACTACTGGGGTGGGGGGTGCCACTGCCACCTAGTGGGTAGAGGACAGAAATACTGCTAAACATTCCACAGGACAGGTCCTCACAATTATCCACCTCCAAATGTCAGCAGTGCTGAGTTAAGAAATAATGGATTTCTCCAGGACATAATTTTAAATTACAGGCATCTTTACAAACTAGTCTGGGAACCAGATTACGCATTTAGCTTTCTGGTGACTGAGAAGTAGAAAAGGGATGTGTTGTGGCTTAATAAATCCAGCAAAATAAAAGGCTAGGAGATTAGACAACCCCCTTAAAAAGATCCCTCTTAGTTTCAACTATACTATATCATAAAAATAACTCATAAACAAAGACACTTGTAAACATATATTGTAGGATGAAC